GATGACGTCCTCGAACACCGCCCGTCGATAGAGCCGGAAGGAGCCCGTGAGGTCCGACACGCCGGGGCTGAGCATCACCTGCGCCAGGTAGTTGGCCACACGGCTCGTGAGGATGCGCCGCATGTCCCACCCATACACACCGCCGCCCCTCCCCTTGTAGCGCGTCCCCGTCACGATGTCGGCCTGTGTGGTCCGCTGCATGTCGATCAACTGGGGGATGAACTTGGGGTGGTGCGACAGGTCGGCGTCCATCAGAATGATGAAGGCGCCCTTTGCGACCTCCAGGCCGCTGCGGTAGGCAGTGCCGAGGCCCAGCTTGCCGGGCCGCTCATGCAGACGGATGTGTCGGTGGCCGTAGATGCGCTGCAGCTGTCTGCAGACGTCTGCCGTGCCGTCAGGGCTGCTGTCGTCCACCACCACCACCTCCCAGTCGCCGATGCCCCCCTTTTGCAGCTCACTCACAATCAGCCAGATGACCAGCGGCAGGTTGTCGCGCTCATTATACGTCGGCAAGATAATGGAGTACTCCACCATCGCTGCCGCTGCAAAGAGGCGCAAAGATCTGCACACCTTCTTTTTTTCCAAGCTCGCAGAAAACCTTTCGTTTCCGCAACGGGATTGGGGGCGCTTGAAGGACGTCGCCAGCGGCATAGAGTCCACCTTTTCCGCAGATCTCCGACAATTGAGGAAAGATCTGGCGGTCTTGCTGTCTGCTGCTTCATGGAGTGGACGTCAGACACCGCATCTACCGTTATCTGTGCCCATGACGGCGCCAAGGGAGGGCCTATGAGCAAGCTAAAGCGACGGCAGCAACAAAAGTGACGATGGCGGGTCAGCCTGCGCAGTCTGCCGGCTTCTCACCATCGACAGCTGAGGACAGGTTTCGGGCTCCGGCTATGCAGGCGGCCTCAGCGACTCATGGGTCGTCTTCACATGCTGCCGGCGCGGCTGCATCAGCATTGGAGATGTATCAGGACCACCGTTCATCTGACCCTGTCCAGCCGCCTCTTTTGGGCTCTGTCCAGCCACCACTACTGCCACCAGCGCCGCCCACTGGTACCTACCTACACACACACACATGCTGCTGTGTGTTGACACACGTGTGTGCGTGTGTGTGTGTGTATGTGTGTGCAGTGGTGATCCCTGCTCGCGTGCCACGGAGGAGCCGATCCGACTCCAGGCACGCAATATAATTCCCACACACACACATGGCCAAAAGGATGGATTGTGTGTGTGTGTGTGTGTGTGGCAGATTCTCCGCCGCTTGTCGACAAGAAGCAGCTGGATCAAGGGGAGGAAGCAGCACACGTGGGGGCCCACTCCCACCACACACACATGGATGGATGAATGGATGAATGGATGGATGAATGGATGGATGGGTGAGTCCTCTGCTGTTGCAGAGAGCCAGCCACTGATGGCACCGAAGCAGCGTTTCGACGTCAAGAAACCAGGTGGGTATTGCATCCACACCAACACACAGACACGCCCACGTGACGCACACGTGTGTGTGTATGAGTGTGTGCAGCGTCCCCCCCTGACCAGCACCACCACCACCAGCAGCAGCAGCAGCACCAGCAGGACATGGAGGCCACAGGTGAATGCTCGCTGAATGCCACAGGTGCCCCTGCTCATCCCATCCACACCACACATCTGTCTACCCACATGTGTGTGTGTGCAGGTGGTCACGCAGAATCTGAGCCGGCCCATGAGCAACCACAGCCACAACCACCACAACCACCACCACGGTCAGCAGCCGAAGCACCGCCAGCAGCGGCACCACAAGCAGAAGGTACGCTCATGTGCACGTATACACGCTGTCACTCAATCTATCTATCTATGTCGGTCTGTCTGTCTGTCTGTCCATGCCGTCCATAGAATCCCCCAAGGTGGTCATTGCGGCGCCCCAACCCCTCCCCAAAGGTGAGGACGCCTGTGAGTGCTGTGTGTGCGAGCCATGCACACATACGCACCTACCTCTTGATCTGACATCTTGTGTGTGTGTGTGTGTGCAGATGTGGCTCTGAAGATCAACATCCATGCGGCCAAGAAGGCGGCGGTGGCTGACACGGCTGCTGAGCAACAGGCGGACCAGCACCAGCCGAGTAGGTCCACACCACACACCAAACTCCACTCACAAACAAATGCATGGTGTGTGTGCCCGTGCTCGTCTGTTTCTACACCCAGGCGAGCAGCAAGAGCAGCCAGCGTCCCAACCACAAGCACCAGCACCAGCGGCGCCGGCGGCATCGTCATCAGACGGCTTCTTCAAACCGAGAGTGAGTCAGCAGGAGCAGCAGCAGCGTTGGGTTGAGACAGGAGCACGACCCCGCATCCTGCCCCGCCCACCCGCAAGGCGCGGCCCTCGTCCGTCATGGGACGCTCACCCACACGCTCACCCACACCTCGGTACGTACGTCTGGGAAAGAACACGTGAGTAAGTGAGTGCACTCACACATACATACTGCGTGTGTCTTGGTGTGTGTGGTGGGGGTGGGTGTAGCGATGTATGGTGGTTATGCCGGCATGTATGCCGCACAGCAGGCGGCCATGATGTACTCGGCTGCAATGGTATGTCCGTCCGCTGCCCTCTCCCAACACAGCACGCACTTCTCTCTGCATGTGTGTATGTGTGTGTGTAGTGCCAGATGCAGCAGGCCCACGTGCAGGCGCAGGCAATCATGCAAATGCAGCAACAGCAACAGCAACAACAACAACCACAGCAGCAGCAGCCGGCAGCACAGGTGCGCCCTTGAGAGCAGATGGACATAGACACACGTGATTCGTGTGTGTGTGTGTGTGTGTGGTGTGTGGTGTGTGGTGTGTACGTGTCTGCTGGCTTCTCAGCAACAGCAGCCGCCGCAGCCCCCGTTGCCATCTGGCGAGCAGCCACCGGGTGTGTCCTCTGCTGCTGCAGAGGGCCAGCTACTGATGGCACCGAAGCGGCGATTCGACGTCAAGAAACCAGGTGGGTATATTCTGGATCCGTGTGTGTCTTTGAGAAACCACACCTCTCTCTCTCTCTCTCTGTGTGTGTGTGTGGGCGTGTGTGCAGCGTCCCCCCCTGACCAGCACCAGCACCAGCAGCAGCAGCAGCACCAGCGGCAGGAGAAAGAGGAGAATGGCAATCGACAGGACATGGATGCTACAGGTGAGTGAGTGAGTGCTCGTTGAATGAATGCCACAGGTGCCCCTGCTCATCCCATCCACACCACACATCTGTCTACACACATGTGCGTGTGCCGTCCAGGTGGTCACGCAGAAGCTGAGCCGGCCCATGAGCAGCCACAGCCACAACCACCACCACAGGCAGCAGCCGAAGCACCACCACCAGCGGCAGCACAAGCACAAGGTACGCTCATGCGCACGTATACACGCTGTCACTCAATCTATCTATCTATGTCTGTCTGTCTGTCTGTCTGTCCCTACCGTCCATAGAATCGCCGAAAGTGGTCATTGCGGCGACCGTCCAAGCCAATCCCGGAGTCGCAACGGTGCCAGCAATGCAGGCGGCCTTGTCGGCTCCTGGTCCGTCTGTGTTGGGCCTGTGCCAGGACAACCATCCGTCTGTTCATCCCGCTGAGGCGCCTCACCCACCCTCACAGGGCCTTGCACAGCGGCTGGATGCCGGCTCTCAATCCCATGCGGCATCAGCAAGCCAGCCGCGGCAGAATGGTGCAGCAGCGGCTGTCCCCCCAGTCTGTCCACCGAAGACAGCCGCCAAGCCCCACCCACCCCCCACCTCAGCCTCAGAGAGCCAGACCCCTTCGCCACCACCTGCCGACCCACCACCCCTCGCAACAGCACCACCGCTCGACAACACCAACACAGCAGAACAGCACGTGTCGTCGCCCACCCACCAGCATCACGCACCACGCGATCCGGAGCAGCAGCAAGGGGGCAGCACGCGCTCACGTGAGGGGTCTCCTGAAGAAGCTCGGAACAAGGAGCGTCCGTCAAGCCGCCGGCCGACCCCCTTGCCGGATGTGTTGCACAACAAGGGCACCCCCGGCCACCGCAAGTACTCCGCTGAGTATGAGGGTCTGGACTTCAGTGTGGCCGGCGAGGGCGACGGCCAGCGGTATGTGGTGACGGCATGGTGGCGAGAGGGGGGAGGGACCGACCGGCCGCCGTTGTGGGTGCGCGCAGTTGTCACTCGTAACAACACGATGAGGGGCTGGAACACGAACATGCTGAGCGACCTGCTGGTGGCCGTCCGCAACGGCACGGCAGACAGTGACGATCGGTTCGAGAGTGTGTCTGATGTCATCGATGGCCTCGAGCGGACCGTCACACAGTGGAGACCTGCAAGTAAGACAGGAAAGAGGGAGCAAAGAAGGGAGGCTGGGGGACTTTGACGCACATCGTTGTGTGTGTGTTCGTCTTTCCATGTGTGCAGGATTGATTGGCGTCCCTTCCCCCGTCAATGATTCACCGCCCGCCGGTGCCCCCCGTCCCTCGTCCGTGACCCTCGCTGCTGCAGCTGGTGGTGGTGGTGGTGGCTCAGCTGACCCACCTCACAATGAGCCTCCCGATGACAAAGGTAGACGGCCACACCATTCCTATCGTCGAGCACCCATCCATTTTGGGTGCCTGTGTTGTTTTCTCTCAGGTCTGTGGGCCAAGAAGGAGCCGCGGAAGCGCAAGGGCGGCAAGGCAGCCGAGGCCGGCACGGGCAAGACCGTCATCGGCAAGCGTGCGGAGCATCAGTCCGCCATGCAGGGGGTCCACTGGTCTGAGAAGTACCAGGCCTGGGTGGCGACTTGGTACGACAAGGGTGACGGCAAGCAGAAGCACAAGTGCTTCTACAAGAAACATCACGGAGTCGACAAAGCAAAGGTGAGAATAAACCCGAGAGGCGCCACGCACCATTTTTTCTCTCTCTTGACTTCAGGCGTTGGCCCAGCAGCATCGTCGCGAGATGGAGCACACCGGGCGGGCAGTGGTCAGGGGGCGATCGAAGCTCCTTGGCGGCGTGAGGGGTGTCAGCTACAACGAGGCAAAGAAGCGCTGGGTGGCCAGCTGGCAGGAGGCCGGCAAGCAGAAGGGCAAGTCCTTCTCCGTCAAGCAGCTTGGCTATGAGGGTGCCAAGGAGGCCGCCATCGCACACAGACGGAAGATGGAGCGATTGCACACGTCAGAGGGAGGGGCGGAGAGGCATGGCGACCCGGCTGACTCGAGAAGTGCCGACGATGGCGACGATCCTCTGCCCGGCAGACAGCGACGGGCCCCTCAGCTGCGTGACGGTGGTGTGGGGGGCGGTGTGCCTCTGCACCCTACGACTCGCCGTGTCACCAAGCGACCGCGGCCCCGCAGAGACGACCGATCCGACCGGAATCCCTCGCCGGACATCGAGGCCCCCAGTTGGCTGCGGGAGGGCCCCCCTGGTGGGCTGCAGGAGCATCGCACGGCCAGTCGCGGCCCTCGTGTGACGCCGGTCCAGAGGGGGCATCTGATTCGCCACTTTTACCAGCAGCTGGAGGCACTCGGCCGAGCCCATCCCGACACGCCCCTCTGTCTGCGGTTCAGGAGTGGGTCTGCCCTGACCCAGCTGGCCGTGGAGGTGGTCCTGCC